AACCTACCATAATAGCAGAAGGAAATCAAAACTAACTCCTACATGGAAAGTAGAAGACATTCAACCAAAAAAACGTTTTACTTGCCTTTAAAGAAATTTTTTATCTATTAATGGCTTACCATTAATTAAAATGGAAAGTAGAAGCCAAAAAAATGTGCTGCCTTTGGGATTTGAACCTGTATCAAAGGAGTCATATTTCCACACTATTTCCGCTACGCCAAATGACATTCACTGGCTTTAATTTGGCGTAGTAATTATTTAATTTTTTAGTTTATACATAATATCTCAAACCATTATCGTGACTGTTGAGATTGGGGTCAAGGTTGTTGGATCCTTGAAGATTATAAATCTCGATCCATAATAACACTAAGGGATTTGGCGTCGTAGTATAGTTGTCGTGGTATAGTGGTCGACGTAGGACGTATCCCCAGGCAAAATGGCCTCGCCTACTACTTGAGCATAATCATAATCTAATTAAATCTTATAGTTTTAGTTTAAATTAAACTAGCCAACTTGAATCTATGAAAGATGCGCTACAACGATACTTTTGTAGTCATCTCCCTAACCCTAATTGTCACAAAAATCGTGCAACAGATGATAAACATATCCAAGGTAGTTTAGGCAAGAGGGTTGATAATATGAAAATCAATGCAATGGATATGTCTTCCTACTCGAAGCAAGGTTAGCTCAAATTTCAAGAATGCTGGTTTGGGATCCTAGTTATGTAGTGTAATGCGAATTGGGGATCATTTGTCGCCCAAATAAGTTGTTGAATAGAATTGAATTATTGCGTACGAAAGCAAGCATTGTGTTTTATGGTTGTTGTCATACTAACATTGGTAGAGTTGTATGTCGTAGGGAGTGTGGTAGCCATACATTAAATTGACTGGGCTCCTTTTTATTTTCAAAATGCAAAATTCCGTTTATCTAATGAAGTTTGAGTTAATTGGTGTCCTTAGATGAGCTAACATGAACGAAAGTATGAGGTCCTAAATTCAAAGGATCATATTAAACCTTACATATCTGAAGAATTTTGTTGCCCTGTTTTTTCCCAACTGAGTCCTATGACCCCTCTCCTGAAGAGGTGGCTCGGCCACTGCCCGTAGGGTGTTTACGTATTCAACAATTGTAAAATGCAACATTTCAATGCTTAATTCTAACACAACGTGGTTAGTAATACAAGATTGATTTACGACATACAACGTTTTCAACAGATCTTGGTATTCTCATTGTTTACAACGTGTTAAACTATAGGAAATTAAATTGATTAAAGAAACTCCCATTGTTTACATAGGGACCAACTAACCATCCCCCATTGGCCCATTTTCCCTCCCTGTTTTTTGTTTAAAAACGAGTTATGTTTGTAGGGAAAAAGAGGAACCAATGCATGTTGGCCATGTGTTCTCAAGCGCAGCCCATTCACAACCCATTCACAGCCCTTCTCTCCCACGCGGCACGCGCATTGGTTTTGGAAATCCAAACCCTAAATTCCATTTTCCCCTTCCGTTCTCCCCAATCCAGCTGCTCCCTCCTTTCCACCATAACCAAGATGAAACCCTAGCCGTCGCTCATTACACATTCCCCCTCCCATTGTTCTCAATCACTTCTGTTCTTTCGCCTTGAACCCAAAGGGAAAAAAATCCTACCCACCTACCTCTTCATTCCTTCCTCTACTTGCCTCCAGGCTCTCGCTTCGTTGTGAGGGGTCTTCTTCTCTGGCGCGAAATGGGTGACGATTTGGAGATTGATGTCGGGGAGACAACTGCAAGGAGGAAGGTTCGTATTTTACTCAAATAGATTTTTGATCTTATTCTTGGTAGCTAATGAAGGCCTGACTCCAGTAGCCTAATCCCCTCGTTTGTTTTTTGCTTTTGTTTTTTTTGGTTTCCGGGGTGCGTTGGGCTAGAGGCATGGTACTGTGAGAATGAAAACATGTAAACTTGTAAGGACAGCGCAGAAGATCATCAGATGGAGTTCGGTTTTTCATAACGTTCGTTCTGTAAACTTGTAAGTATATCTGGCTTCGTAGCTTGTTGACACGGTTTGTATTAATTTGATTCCAAATCTCAGTTTTTCCCTCATGTGTGTTAGCTAATAACTGAGTTTGGAGACTAGTTACCTAATCCAATCCATTTTATTGATCTTCTTTTATTTTTTATGAGGTTGTGTTGGCGGCAGTTCGGCGGCCAGTCCCAACATGTAGATGCGTCTACAAAGGGTGGAGAAGAACATCAGATGTAGTTGGAGTGTTCATAATAAATATTGTGGAACCATATTCCATCTGGTGGTTCTTTTCCGCCCACTTGACTCCTACATTTTGGAAGAAACTCGCAAAGGTTGTAGGAGATTTGAAAGATTTGAGGTTGATTTCGTTCTATTGTTGTTTCGTCTGTTGTTTCTTTGTTGGTCCGAATCCCTCAACTGAGAAAATTCATTGCTTGCAGAGTTGTGAAGGCCACTGCTGGATTCGGGAGATAGTTTATGTACCTCTGGTTCTATCAAAATTTTGATGGTATCATTTTATTTCCTTCCAGTTTCAAATGTTCATTTGAGAACAAATGTATATGCGAAATATTTGGTTGAGGCTTGCGCAGATAATGTGATTGCTGTCATACGCTTTCTTGAGGGGTACTAGAGTAGATGATATAGTAATTCTGGAATGTATTGCAGCTATGTAGGAGTGCTTCATTCATAGGAATGCCCCATTACTATTTAGCTTGAATATGTACCATTGGAACTACGGTATCCTTTATTCCTGAACCCTTCAAGAAAGTGTATGATAGTAATATGTGGTCTGCGGAAGTATTTCAACCTGGACCATATACTTTAACAAATTTTCATTTTTTATATGTTGCTTTATGAATTCATTTGTTTGATTTGTCGATTTTGCTTTCATTATATGTGCACGTCGTTGCCATGGGGAGTGTGAAGGGAAGGATGGAATCTTACATGGGAGAAGAACATTCTCTAGATGAGTACCCAAAGTAGGATTTGTATGCTTTGTTGTGGTCCCAAGCTTCCATCGGACTTTGTTTCCTGTATTGTGAATGACGCTATTTTTGGTGTGTCTTTGCAGGAGTTAAACACCTGAAGAATTATGTCAAGTGAGGCCAAAAGGAGGAATCGCTATTCTCTATGGGGTCAGACTAGTGAAGGAGAAAGAAACTGGCACGATGTGGTAAGAGTCAGTTGTAAAATGGTGATCGAGATACTGAAAGGGTAGCTGACGTTGTGGTCCCAAGCTCATGTGTTTGCTCATCTAGTTTCAGTTTCTGAGGAAACTTTTCATTGTAATGTTCTACCACAAAGGGTAGCTGACGTTGTAGCCTTTGAGGCAGTTGATTCTTGATTTTAATGAATCATATCAGTGGTTTCTAAAAAAAAAATAATTACTCAGTGGGCACAGTTGTTGCCTTTTATGTACTCGGTTGTTCTGATTAAATCCTCCCAAACAATATAAGGAGATTCCCTGCCGGAACCATCTTATTTCATTTTTCCTGTGGTCAAAATAAAAAGGCATCAGAATTCGGAACTATATTACTGGAAGGAACTATAATACTGGAAGGAGGATAAAACTTGAGCATAAATAATTATTACTGCTCTTCGACTGGTATTAGTTAATTAGTACTTAACACTTTTTGTGCCACTCCAATTTCAAGGTTCATCCATCACAGAGGTTTGGAAAAAATTGTCAAACAGTAATTAATTAATATTCAAGTAATTAATCGAAATATCGTATTATTCAAATCGAGTAATATGGATCGGATCGCTAAATGAGTAAAAGCCACTCAGCCCATATATCCTATGTTTGGTCCGGTTTTTAGAAGTACTTTTCGGATTCAAAAGGTGAAGCAGGGTCAAATACCTCTAAAAGTTCGATTTTTGAAAAACATTTTTTGTATAACATAAAAGCAGAAGCTCCGATTAGAGGTTTTGCGAAAAAATGTTTTGAAAACAAGATTATCTTACCATATTTTAATTTTATTTCAAAAAATATCATTTATTTCACTTATATCATTTTAATAATAAAATAAATTATTTAATATACAATAAATCTAACAAGATCCATACTACTTTTTTATTGTTTAGAATTTTTATTCAAATTTTATATTATAAATTATTTATAATCATTTTACATAACCTCTCATATTAAAAAGCACTTCTAATAGTTTTTCAGTCAAACACTTAATTGCTTTTTTTTTTAAAGTACTTCTCTAAAAACTCAAACCAGAAGTTGATTATGCAAAAGATACAGAAGGGCCAAACTACCTTTACGATCTACGTACACTAAATGGTGCGACCGTTTGAATAACATGGAGAAAAAAATTTATATTTAAATATGTTTATTCAATCTCAACTAATAGATTTTCTTAGATAAATTGTTGTGAGTGAGCAATGCACACTTTTTATACATAGATGATATATTTTTCAATCCTTGCTCTCTCACCGTTCCATTCTTATACATAAAGGATATGTCATTACTTAATGACTTAATCCAAAGCAGGCAAAATTTGAGGCCTACGGCAGAAGAATTAGTAAAATTTAAATGTTATGTGTTAGAGGTCAAAGATCTTCAATCAATCATGGATTCAAGAAAAACTTGATTAAACGAATTACATCCAAAATAAGATTCATTGTACACACTGAGTTTGAAAATGCATGTGATCGGATCAGACCCCCAAGTTCTAGTTCAGACAGAACTTTGAATTTTATAGGAATAGGAGCATTCAACATCAAAAGATAAATCTTTTTCCAACATAATCCCATAGAAAAGAAACACAATAGAAAGAGATGCATTGAGTGCAGGCCCGTACAACTAATATCATTTACTAGAAAAGCTAGTAGTGTGTTGAGAATTGAGAGCATAAAATTCAGACCTCTGAAGGAACAACCCATTTGTCGTTTAACCAGTCCTGATGTGTCCTCAAATCAGCCTGCTTGAACGTGATCTTCTCATCATACTCTTTAAAGTAAACCACGTAATTGCAGTTGATCAAAACCTTTGCAATCACGCCAACCCACCAGCCCTCGTTGTAGTAAGCATCTACTTCATCCATCACCTTGAATCCATCCACAACAATGATCTCCGGCGGACAAGGCCTTATGTTGCAAGCACGAATGTCTTCTCTGAGAAACTCAGTATCATCATCATTCGTCACGGTTTTGTACTCAATAAGGTACTCGTCTTCACCCGAAGGTTCAATAATTGTTGCAGCAAACCAAGCACCTTTGAAACCGTCCTCGTCAGTTGTCACCTCGACTTGCATTCCTTGAGTGAACTTCATCACCTAGATCCAGATTCAGAATTCCCTAAAATTGTCATACCAAGCAACGGAGCAGGAAAAGTAATAAAATCGAATTAGCTCACCTCTTTCTCCCGCTGAACCTGTTTGAATCGCGGCTCCCACTTCCCTTTAACCCACTGAACAGGCAACCTCAAATCTTTCTCTTCAAACACAATCTGCTCCTTTGAGCCTCTGAGGAACACCACGAATTTCCCGCCGGAGTGCTCCGCAGTAATAGCCCCTTCCCACCAGCTGTCGCTGTGGAAGGCCTCCACTTCGTCGCCAAACTTGAACTGGACCTTCTTCTTCTTCTTCTTCTCGGGAGGCGGCGGCGGCGGACGCAATTGGATCCAATCGAGGGTTTCTTGCAGCAGCTTCTCCCCAGATTCGTCCTCGTAGAGCTGGTCGTACTCGACTACGTAGCGATTAGGGTTCTTCGCCTCGCGGCGGATGACGGTGCCGGCGAACCAGGAGCCGCGGAACCCGGGGTCGTCGGAGCTGACCTCGACCCGGTCGCCCGGTTTGAATTGGGCGATCCACGAAGAAGATGGGTTCGACTTCGACATTTGCAGAATTGCAGGTGAAGACACGGATGGAAGCGGGGGGATTTTGAGACCACAAAGAGAAAGGGAATGAGTCAAACTCCTAAGAGCATTAATATATTGCGGTAGAAAAAATGAAAGATTTAACTCTTTAACAAAGAAATTGATCACCTCGAGTTGCAGAAAAAAATAGCCAATCACGACCCCTTGGCGTCCGCACAGAACTGGAAAAGACTGTTCTACTAATCTACCCGATAAAGTACCTTGGTTCCCTCGCTACTTTATTGAGCCACCTCCAGTCTCCTCAAGTGGGATACCCCAGCAACTAAATGGTACATGGATCCTCCCACTTTTTTTTTTGACAATAAGGCAGCTTACATTGCACTTCAGAAATATTCGGTTACAAAGAGGGAACCCAACATAAATCCTCCCACTCACATGGCCTCAGATACACAAAGATCAAGGATGAACCCAAAATAAATCACAAGGGTTGCGTATGAGTACAGTTTACCCAACATTTTACCAAATTGTGTTGCAAAAAATAATTATTATAATATATAATTAATAAAATTATATATTAAAGAATTAAAAAGAGATGAACCCAAATTTCAACTAAACCGTGTAAAAACATTGGGAAGGAGAAGATATGCCGTGATTTTAGTTGCACCAAATTTTATCTCTTATTTACTTAACAAATTAATAAGTTTCCTTCTCAAATTAAAACTCTAGCACATCCCTTTATATTCTACTAATACACATCCATTCCCCTTTCTACGCCACTAAGACCACTTGCAGTGGTGTTTTAGAATTCCAAAAGGTCCATTTAATGTAATTATTGGTTCCAAAAATGTAACACAAGTGGACAAAAGTTCTTTGAATCCGAACGGCTCTTTGTTTCAAAATTTTCTTATAAATAGTTAAATACACTTCAATATGTCATATTTACAAATAATGTGTTTTTGTCGGAATTCAAAAAAAAAACAAAAATTATCGAAATGTTCGTCTTTATTAATTATTACTACCTATATAAAAATAATGAACAAATTTTGTAATTAAAATGATGGAGTTTTGTAATTAAAAATAATAAAACAAATGTTGTAATAAAAATAATTAAAATGCCAAAACACCTTTTGATGGGCTAGATTTTGAATTATAGCCCCAAAATCTGGACTTTTGGATTCAACCACTAAAGATGGTCTAAGGCAGAAAGTACCAATCAATATAAAAAAACCCTTTGCTTTTCATTCTAGTTCTACCACTATTGTCGTAGACTCGTAGTTTCTTCCTTCATTCCAATTGCATCCTGCAATTTCTTTCGAATTGTTAAAATCCTCTGCCTCTACCATTATCAAAAAATATCAATCGACCTCTAAATGTTGTTCTCTCTTACATTTACAGCTGACTGTCGGTCTCCGTCTCTCCGAGCACTACCGAGTAACCTATAAGCTCGTCTCCAAGATGCTACACATCTCTTGCGAGAGTTTTGGAGTATGGTGCTTAACCCGTTAATTTCTAGCTTCTTGTATATATATACATACGATTAGATTGATTCAATACTTACACCCTTATTTTTGTATTTTGACAGCAATGCCCACCCGTGCTTATGCCATATACAAAAAAGAGCAACAAAAAGACAGTCGAATAACTATGAGTTAGATGAGACACACTCGCAATCTGAATCTCCTTAATGATGAATATGATATCGGATTAGACCCAAGTTGAAAAAATTTGAAACTATGCTAAAAGGATAATTTTTTGTAAATCAATTCTGCGGCCAAGCATGTAATTATTTGTGACAACTAGACATCGAAAAGTGTATTTGTGTCAGAAATATTACCACAATTGACATTATTTGTGACAAATATACATGTCATTATGAACGTCTTATTTATAGGTGCCTCCTGCTTTTGGCGTAGATGGTGTGCTCGTAATAAAATAAAAATAATACATTACCTCCCAGACAACCCGAGTGCAATGGGTGGATGGCTACAAGCAAACACATATCAAAATAAAATTAGAAATAAAATAAATTGATTTACCTAGTGTCTTTCTACTAAGCCATGTATATAAGTATGTGGAAGATGGGGAAATGTTATTGTGATGGCAATAATCAAAATTGCCTGCTCCACATCTCTTCTCATCAGGGCACGTGTAGTAGTGTAGGTAGTGATTGTTGGGACAATCATTAAGGCATATGATCCTCCGAGCCCACGACCACTAAAAAGCCAAATAAGGCGAACAAGCCCAATCCAGAGGATTAGGAGGCGGTCTACCCGTCGCACCTAATAAGACCGCCCAACATACAACGGAAACAAAACAGGACGCCCGACAGAGGATATAGTCAACGTCCTGACAACAAGGTACGAATACTGAACAAAGTACGAACCTGACCAAGCATTTATGGGAAGTCAGAGGTGGTTGAAGACCGCCCGACACAGTGTCGGGCCGCCCGACATAGCGTAACTTGTCCTCACTCCTATGCTCAACTAGTATAAATACCCATCAACGGATCACATTTATGGTAACTTCTATCTACTCCATTCTCTCTCTTATTCACTCTATCCACTTCTCTCACTAACTTAGGCATCGGAGGAGGTCCCAGGGCTCCCCTGAGGACCTTTGTTGCAGGACTTCGAAGGTCGCCCCTCATCCTCCCAAGACCGCACAGAGACAGTGAAGCCTCGCAAACCGCCCGGTACTTACCAGGCATAAACATTTTGGCGCCCACCGTGGGGCCTCACTACTTCGTCACCAGAAAAAGATGGGAGACGACTTCGAAACCCCGCTCAAGGGTATGACTGAGAACAACACCCTCCGAGGTCTATCGCCGAGAGTTGAAGATGAATCAGAGCTGGAGGAGGTAGTCAAAAGCCAAGGCATGCAAATTGCAAACATGCAAGATAGCCTGTCGCAAATCCTCCAACTGTTGAAGACAAGGGAAGACCCGCCCGAGGGGTCGAAGGGAAGAACTCGGGAAGAGAAGCAAAAGGCCGCCCTGATCCTTGACAGCCCTGCTCGGACAGAAGGCGGGGGACAGGAGGCGGAAGATGCCGATCTGGGCTTCCTTGAAGAGCATTTACGGTCGACTTACGGGAAGCACAAGAGTCCCAACGTCCTTCAAAACCCACTCTCTAAAGAGTTTTTCAAGACCCCCGTACCGCCAAACTTCTCCTCCGTTGGACTACCCTCGTACAATGGGACCTCAGATCCCGTGGACCACCTTTGCGCCTTCATGTTGAAGATGCAACTCATCAACGCCTCAGACTCCGATTTGTGCCGAGCGTTCCCCGTCACCTTCAGCGGTCAATGCCGGACGTGGTACACCTCCCTCCCGGAAGGGGTGATAGAAAACTTCAAACAATTCGCGATGCTTTTCTCCACAAAGTTCGCGTCCCAGCGGCGATGCAAACTCACGGTCTCGGCACTGATAAATTGCAGACAAAAGAAAGAGGAGTCGCTTGCGGAGTTCTACGACCGGTGGAATGCGATCGCTTGCGAAATAGACGGAATCTCCTCGGTCGTAGCCGCCGGCAACCTTAGGATATCAACGACCAGCATCGAGCTCAAGAGAACGCTGATTAAAAAGGAAGCCATGCTAACGTCGTGGTCAGACTTGGATCAATTGGTAAGACGAGCTATCTTGCTTGAAGAAGCCCTCGCCACCGATGATAGGGGCCATCAGGGACGATCTCGAAACGATCCGCACGAGCGGTCGGACGATCGACGTGGAAGGCGGTCTCCCGAGTGGAAATCGTATCGCAACCGGTACACCGACCGTGACAGTAAAAGAGAGGTCTATTCCACCGAACGAGAAAGAGGAAGAGAAAGACGAAGAGGTGGGAGAAAACCGGAAGCGTCCTCCGGACAAGAACCGCAGGAAGGAAAAAAGTGGTGCGACTGGCATCAAATGGCGACTCATGACACCACCGAGTGCAGAGAATTCAAAGCCAGCTTGAAATACTTGGCCCCGGGAGATCTACGTAACCGCCTCGAAACACGACGAACCCATCGGGACAACTCTCAAGAGGGACGGGAAGACTCCCTCAGTCCGGAGGCGGACAAGCCGAGAAGAACTCGTAAAGAAAGGTCCAGGTCGCCCACAAGGAACAAGGTCATCTCGCCCCAGAGGCAATCTCCCGCCTATCGACCCCCGAGGGGAGATGACGATGGTATGGAGATCATTACGATCGCAGGGGGTAGGAAGCGCCCCAGAACGGAAGCCGACCGCCTAAGCCACTGCTTAAGCGTCCAAAGCCGAGTGCCCTCGGACGTCACCTTCCTACCATCAGAGTTGGCTAAAGAGGAGAACTCAGAAGATCCCTTAGTCATCTCATTCCGAACCGACAAGTTCAAAGTCACAAGGGCACTCGTCGACAATGGGAGCTCCGCCGATATCCTCTTCTACTCAGCGCTCCGAGGCATGAAGAAGAGCATCCAAGACCTTAACCCCTCGAATACCAGCTTAGTAGGGTTTTCGGGAACGAAGGTCCGCGTCCTTGGGTCAATCACTCTCAAGGTCACCATAGGCGAAGGAGGAATCACCAAAACCAAGCAAGTGGATTTCCATGTGGCAGATTGCCCTTCGGCATACAATGCCATTCTGGGTCGCGGTTTCCTTGCTTCATTCGAGGCGGTTGCTTCGACATGCCACCAAATGCTAAAATTCCCAAGCGGAGGGCAGACAGGACGCGTCCGAGGCAACGCGAAGGAAGCAAAGGAGTGCTATCAAGCGACCATCGAACGTCTAGAAGTCGACCTCGTCGACGCCAGAGACGATGTTTCCCGACCGGAAGCCGTGGAAGGCGATATTGCGGTCCCCCTAAACGAAGAGCAACCAGACAAGACCGTCCGCATCTCGGCACATTTGGCCGCCGAGGAAGCCCAGAAGCTATTGACACTCCTCCGAGAGTACCAAGACCTCTTCGCTTGGGGTCCGGAAGACATGCCCGACGTCCCTCGAA